TGTTGAGGAAGGGGGCAGGGTGGCAGCAGAAGAAACACAGAGCGGGAAACAGTAGAGCCTTTTGTGAGACAGGAAGCTGCAGAGAGCAGGATCCTCTGTCTGGGTACAGTAGAGGAGAGAAATCTGTGAAATTAAGGAAGATGGGAGGAGGGAGGAGAACTACAAGAGCAAACAATGAGAAAGTAATTAACATAAGAAAATCATCCACCTATCAATCAACTGCAAATGTCCCTTTCCACTTTTCTTTGAGTCAAAACAAAAAAGATGAAGGAAATAAACATTGATCCATAATTGGGTTAATATAAAAATCTCTTCCTTGTCTGTTGGAGTAAAACTGTATCCTCTTTAATAAACCTGCAACTTATTTTGATCTTTAATCAATGTTTGTTATGTCAGGGTTTTATATCAAAGCAAAGTGAATCAATAAGAAAACCAGATGTTTGTCTCAGCCTGGAAATGTTTCTGCATCTTTAGTAGAAAGAGGAACAGAAAAGGTTAAGGCCTTTACAATTAAGCATCTGGATATTTTTCAGAATCTCTGTACCAATATCTGTGATGTAATGTTTCTCTTTATTGCAGCTCTGCAGCATCACCAGCTCGGCATGGTGATGCACGGTGCATCAGGATGGTGCATCAGGATGGTAGAGAAACTGCAGTACCTGGTAGGGTGAGGTCCCTGGTGGTCTGAGGATTGGGTTCAGATCAAGAGCGAGTCAGCAATCTTGATGAACAAATACCTCCTTTGTGGGCAAATGTTCCCCGTTAACCCGTCACCCCACAGGCCTCCTGGGGTTCTGGAGACAACGATGGAACCACTTCAAAGCATTGGCTTTGAAGTGGTTCAAGCTTCTCATCCGGATTCCTCCTGGTTGCTTCATTTTGAAAGTTTTCCACTGGAAAAACACCCAGAAGCAGATCGAGAACCTGCTGGTTGGACTTTATGTCCTTCTGGCTTCAGATCGTCTTGGGATCCCTGAGAATGATGAAGAAAAAATCACTGGGAAGTGGAATATCTGGATTCTCCTTCTGGACCTTTGACCTCAGTGACTCCACATCACAAATACACAATAAAAGATTTTGGTCTAGTTTCAGGTTCTAGTCTATTTAAAAATAGAAAGAGTAACAAATATGAACCAGAATAAAGACCTGTGTGGAGATTTCCGCCCCAAGGTTAGGAAACGAGTTAAAGGAAAGAAATAAAAGTTAATAATTTCCAAAGGAAAAAAAGGAACACAGAAAAATGATTTGTACTCAGGTTCTGCAGCCACTTAATGAGGTCAGGGAAAAGCAGCAACAAAAACAATCCAACTGTTTTGGTTTTTAGCTATTTCCAGTCTGTCAGACCTTTTGAAGTAAAAGCAGCTTTTCATCTGTGCCTTCAGTTCAGTTCATCCGGGCTGCTGCAGCACAAACAAAGCATGCACATGCCAAGGCGGCATCGTTAATACCCAAAGCGCTGCAGAATGCAAATACCACCCTCCCTCTTCCTTTTTTTGTCGTCTTCTTTTCATCACCTTCTTCCTTTCTAAATTTCCCTCTGTGGAATCTTAGTAAACAGGCAAAAGCTCATTAATGGTCCCAAACACATGACCCGGTCTGTCTCCATTAAGGGGAAGTTAGGACAACTGGTTGATAAATGTTAAAATATTAACTCTGTTTTAATTGAATTGGTCGTCTGAGAAAAGGTTTTAACAGGAGATAATTTCAAATGTGACCACAGTCACTGAAATAAGCAGCATTAATAAGTCACAAGCAGCTCAATAGTGCAAAAAAAAAAAAAAAGAAACCCTATTATTATCTCTACATGTTTTTTAATTTCCAGGACCTGCAGGTTTTGAATACCTCACTTTAGTTATCTTTCTTTTATTATACGAATAAAGTAGGCAAGAATCCTTATGTCATTTTCACAAAAACCTTTAGATTTCAGATTCTTCTAAACACCGTCGAGGTGTTGAAAATATCTGCTGTTTCAAGAAAATATTTATTGCAATACTTTTGCTGAAAATATAAGACTAATAAGGAGTAGCAGACATTTTTATAAAGGTTGTTTTTGGCATGAGCAGCTTTTGTTTATTGGTAGCTCAACAAGAAGAAAAGAACAAAAAAGAAAAGAATGATGACAATCCCAAATGTTTCAACTTACCTCAAATTTAGTTTCCCAGATTCATGCTGGAAGTTGGTGACGGATATAAAAGGTGGAACTTGGGAGGTGGAGGGTGATTATATGTTTAATGATGAGTCTCTGAGTTTATTGCTGTTCTTCAATGGAAAGAGATCATTAAGTGATCATCAAAAAGATTATTGACGTTTTAAATTTTGTAGTCAATTATCCTGGAAATTAATGCTTCAAATACATCAATAAAAGCACAAATTAGACCTTCATGCAAATTTTTGACTTTAACTATATGATGTAAAACTAAAACTCATATTAGAAAGGGCAGATACAAACAAAAACTGACTTTAAATCATGATTATGCTTTTAAATTTTCTACAAAAAATAGTTTGCAGTTACTCGTCTTTTAACATCCTTATAATGACTAAGCACCAATAGTTGCAACCAGAACGGCCTCCCTTCAAATTCTGACCTTTTTTTGATGCTTCTAAGACTCTCTTTAAGTATCTCAGTCTGTCTGTTTCCTTGATTACAAAGATCATCTGTCCTCAAATGTAAAATTATATTTTGTTGTGCTTCGCCTGCATTTAGATCTCAGTCATCTAAGTGTACCTTGGCTCTGATTTAGTCTGTGTATGCCCAAAAAAACCGAGCGTATGATTACAGCTGAAGGAACATGGGGACGGAGGCTGACCAGTAATTTGGTTTGGCTATATGCTGCCACTAGTCGTTCCTGAAAAATAACTTTCCTCCCTTGATCATCTGACTCTTCAAGATCCGAGACGCTCTAAAATTTGTTCAAGCTTTAACTTTATTCATAATAAAAAGATAAGAAGTTTAGATTTGTTACTATCATTCCTAAAAGTGAAATCTTTAGGAATGATTTTAGGAGAAGCCAGTTTCGATAAGATTCAACATATAAAATAATTGGGTAAATTCTAACCAAATCTGCAGATAATAAATCATGCATAAAACTGCAACAGATCAGCAAATATGTGAAAAACTCAACTGCTGAGTTCAAACAGCCATTAAACTGTTATTTTACTGCATTGGTCCAGTAGATTGAACACAAAATAGCAGCGAGCAGCAAACCCAGCTGACATGTTGCCTCCTCTCAAGAATGCACTGCATCAACTAAGCTCTGTTTTCTGCAGGTGTGTGTTTTAATGGCAGTGTGTGGGGTTCCTCTACCACACAGGATCCAGCAAATCGCTGGTGCCAAGTGACTTCAAACACCGCTCATTTATTCAGAGTACAGCAATAACATTCACCTGGTGAAAAGTGACATTTCTGTAGCTGAAATTAAGAGGAATTTGACCCCGGGCATAAAGGTGTCTTTCTATAGAGCGAAGCCTCGCATACCGCAGCGGAGGGGAGGGAGGAGAGGGAGAAACAGGAGAGGACGATACCGAGGGAGGAACTGGCAGAAGAGGCAGGGAGAGTGATTAGAAAGAGATGGATGGAGAGAAAGGGAAGATAATTCAAGTAAAGGAAGAGAGAAGCAAAGACAGGATGAATAGATGAAGCTGGAAACAACCAGAGGGACCACCAACAGTTTAATTCAGGAAGCAGACAACTATAAATAAGTTTCGACTTTCAACCCCTAACCTTGAAGGTTAAAATATAGCATCATACTTAATTTGGACACATTCAACAGGTGGAAATTATGTTTAAAAATGACGAGCGCTCAGAAAGTAAAAAAACCTCAGCTTTGTAATGCAGACGTGTAACTTAAAAGGTTAAGAGCTGATAAGGCCTTTTCTAAATCTGCTGCTGCTGACTTGGCTGAAAATGTCTTTGGCTCTCAACAGAGAGGTCATTGTGCTTACTCCCTCTGCTGGCACCAGTCGGTACTACAGGAAACGATCCCACACAGGCAGGTTGGCCCTGAAATCTGCAACATGGATAATAATACTCCTAAATGGCTCTAATAGTTTTCTGTTAGAGAAAAGGAAATTACTGATTAGTTTATTATTTATAGCTCTTATACCAAGAAAACCCCCAAATTAGGTCTAATTGTGTTTTCAGGTTGCATTCAAAAAATACCACTAAGGTTCAAAGGGATTTATTACAACAAGAAACTATAAATCAACTTTCAAAAATAATATGTGCAGTAAGTTTGGTTTATGTTGATCATATTGTCAAAGATAGAGGAAAAGAGGTCAAACTTCCTATTCGTGTTCATTTTTATGTTTTAATGAGTGGCAGAGGGAATAGAGGCAACACTGTCGGATGAAATTTCTCTGGAAAGACTCCAATCTTAGCTGAGCTGCTTCCATATAAGTGAAGTTGAGTCAAGCAGGTGCGACTAAGGAGAAACAAGCAAGGGAGGAGATGAGAGGAAGCAGATAGCAGACCACTGATGGTGGAAGTTAATCGGGATAAAAGGTCAGTGCTCCCTCTAGAGGTCAATGGGTGGGAGTGCAGTGGTCAGCTGAGGCCCTGGGGTCCTGCTGGACTGAGCAGCACATCGTTTCTCCTGGACGCTCCAGCAACCAAATGGAGGTTTTTATAAAGAAGACTCTGAAATAAATGAGCTGTAAACTCCTTCATCGTTGTGGTTTTGTTGTATTTTCTATTAAAATAATTATTTGGATCATATAACAAGTATGATGGAGTATTGGGGTCATATTATGAAAAAAAAATTAAAAACCCATTCAATTACAAGAAAAAGTAACATAATTTAAAAAAACAAAGTCATAATATGACGAGATTAAAGCCAAACACCAGAAGAAAATTGTAATATTATGAGAATGAAGTCGTTATAGGATTTTATGACCCTATTCTCACAATATTTTTTTCATTTTCTTAGAGTAGCCCCAATACTCTGTTGTAAATGAGAGTGATAAGTGCGTCTTCTCTGAATAATAAACAAAAAACACTTCACTTACAGTATTAAAACTTTTACTCAGACATGATACAACAAACAGAAACAAGATTCAGAATTAATGACTGAACAAAAAAATATTATTTATATCTTTTTCTTCTTTCAATCCCCAAAGCACACAATAGTCAATCATCTCCATGAGTAAAATGGAGTAGAATACAAACAGGACAGAGAACAGACACAAGAGAGAGAAACAGACAAATCAAACAGAAGAGTGACAAATTCAGTTCTGATTTTTTTGTTGTCAGTTCTTGCATTTGTTTAATACTTTGTAATAAAGAAAAGGTGGAGAGCATAGTCAGAGTAGATTGAGACGAGAAACAAGACAAAGAAGTATTGTGTGAAAGTTTTTAAGATGGAGAGTAAACGATTAAGGAAGATCCTAGATCTACTGGAAAATAGTTTTTTTTCTCTCTCAATCAATAACTGAACACTTGATCCAAGTTATTTAAGTCCGTGCCCCGTTTTCTCCCTCGTTTCTGATCAGAGCTCCATAAATCCAAGCAGTAAACCCCCTCATCCTCCAGGAGAGCTGCTATATCCAACCAGTCCTTCCTGTCAGGTTCCTTCATTAGAAACATCTTGGTGGGGGGTTTCTCTCTGCTTCTCTGACAGGTTTCAGTTCCCAACAATATTCACAACACCAACGTATCAGAGAAGATCAGGTCCAGGGTTAGCCTCTCCCTGTCAATTGTTCCTTATTTCTATTTCACTCATTTGTATGCTGCCAGGTTGTAGGGCCCTATAAAAAGCACCAAATGATCATCTTTAGCACCCAGAGGGGTCCACACCCTGCTCTACGTCTCTCAGGTCCGCTCTCTCCACACAAGCTGCTATTTCCATTCCTATCAGGCTCTCTGTTCAGAAACGCACTACTTAGGCTAACGTTAGCGCACCGTCTTCACTGTGCTGCACAAGAATCACGATTTACACACATGACAAGGACTAAGTGGCCCTACATTGGAGATGGCTGCAGACAGCTTGGCAGTGATTGAAAACTGTGAGGGTGGTGAGTTTGAAAGCTGCATAGCTCACACTGAACTTCTCTGATTAAACCAGCCTTGGCTCCAGAAGACATGCAACAGCGCCACCCTCGTGTCCAATTGACGCAGGACCTTCAATTTCAGTCAGATCATGCCATCTGTTTAAAAAAAGTATTTAATTAAAATCTTTACTCATAAAAACACAACAAGTTTCAAAATGTAACAAAGATGGCGACAGCAATGCTGCTACACAGTCTACAAAAGGTGGCAGCATGCGCCTGCCTTGAGTGCACACTTGCAATGACAAACATTTGTGGGCGGGGCAGGGCGGTGCGATGCGGCGGTCTCACGCGGATCATCGCAGCTCTGCCGTCAAGTAACGTAAGCAAAGAGAGACACGCGGCTCTGAATCCTCTTCACAACACTTTCCCGTCAAAGAAAAAGCTTCACATCCTCAAGCAGTCCAACAACCAGAGGTTTAAGCTGCAAGTCTATATATTCCCAGGCAAAGTCAAAGCGGGTGAGTGAAGCTGTAGCTACGGCAGCTGAGGTGGGGCAAAACGACTCCAGGAAGCCGGGTTGTTGTGATAAAGCTTCAGGTCAATATACCAACTTAAAATTCAAATATACTTCCAACAACCCGCTATTTCACCCAACAATGCTCAGCACATCACAGCCAAAGTTACAGTTTCTGCCAGTCAAAACGTGAAGCTGCAGATTAATGAACAAATGCATAAAAACATGGCCACACATTATTTGATAAACGCTCAACCACCAGCTCTGCGAAGCTGGAAGTAACTTAGCTTAAGAACCTGCACTGAGTCTATAGCTTTTATACTTTATGATTATAAATCACTCAAAGCTAAGCTCTCAGCTGGATAACAAAAATACAGAGAGCAAAACAAACATGTCGTACGGAGAGATGAGAAATGTAAATTACTCCAAATTAATATCATGTAACAGTCAGAAACATAATGCAAATGTTGCAGAATAACTGTTTAATCATCTGAGTCGTGTTAAATAGTTTGCCTTCAGCTCATCACTGTTTTCATCCCTGGTTATGAACGCTGTGCAGTAGCAGAAGGCTCAAACATTCAAGAGAGGAAGCTCTGAAAGAAAAAGATTCAAACGGTCAGAGGAGAGAACTCATGCAAGCAGTGATCCAACAGTCAGCTTCACCTCTGACTGAGGAGACATAAAGAGACGCTCGTTTTGGGTTCCTCGAGTTCTGTCCTCAGTCCGACTGTTTCTAATCTAGATCACAGATCTAAAAGCTCAGCAGCTACAGAATCAGTCTCACTCAAAACCTGCATCAGCTCATATTCTCACACCACTGAAGCACTGATTCTATACTACACAGTAAAAAAGGCTGGAAGGTCACCTAACTCATAAGTTCACCTTCGTCTCGCTTTCCTTTTGCCAACAATCCAAGTCAGCAATGTTGCATAAAATGCTGACTTTTTCTGCAAATAATAGAAACGCTACTAATTTGACCAACCGTATGCAGAGATGGAAGGAAACTGAAACAAGGTTATAGTTACGTCAACTTTCTCCCATGATTAAAATAAATCACCTGCCTCACAGTTCAGCCACAGCATCACACTGACGTGGGGGCCGAACGCCCTCTCTGAGGAACACCAGGGTCATCTGCTGGGCTGGACGCTAACAACGTCTCTCGATGGCAGAACCCTACAGCTTCCTCCGTTTGTCTCTGAAACCGGGTCTGATTCTGGCTGGCAGAGCCAAACTCTACTAGAACATAGCTGGAAATCACAACTTAAAATCTACAACAAAGCTGATGAGATCAGAATGGCTCTAATAGAGTGGGAGAATGGTTGATTTGTCTGTGGTCTTGCATACTGTATTTGCATTGATGTGAATGTGCAGGTCTTCAAAAGACCATGGATGATTTAGCACCTGGAAGAAGACAGCTGTACCTCTTCACTAGAATGACTCTGCAAAATGTTCTCATTTCTATTAAATATTGGCTAAGGAGGCGGTTAAATATACTTCAGAATGTCAACACTTTTTTTTAAATTTAAATACATGACTGCCAGAAAAGGAAGTAAATCTGTGTTTCCCAGTATTGCTCACATTCAAGGGTGTGTGGAGGGTTTTCTTCTAAACACTTTGTAGCTGCATTTGACTTTTTTACCAATTCTGTTCTTCACAAATTTCAATCACAGTAAATGTCAATAGCTAATGTCAAAAGAATAAATACAAATATCCAGCCAATCAGTTACTGGGAACGACAGGAATAAACTGGCAGAAGCTGGTGCAAAAAAAGCAGCAATGAGTTGTGGTTTTGGCCCTGGTCAGTTTCATGTTTTCGTGATTTCAAGAGATAAAAACGGGACGTTTCATAAACAGCAAAAAATAGAGCTTTAAGTTTCTTGAAGCCACGTATTTCACAAGTGTGAGCAGGTCATCGTTTCTGCATGACTTCTCTGTTTGTTTTTTGGTATTATTTACAGCTATTGTACAAAAAGATTCAAGCCAGCAACGCAGCAAAACGTCCAAATCCACAGGTAGTAGGTGTAGGATTTCCATGATACTGTCGAGCATAAAGGGATTTCATTATTGCAACACAACTCAAGAGGATCCTATGTAATTCATTCAAAACTTTTTCCACTGTCACATCATTTCAGCTTGTTTTCATTTTCCAACTCCACTGATGCTTCATTGCAAAGCTTCCAGCAACTCGTTTCTAAAAAGAACAGAGCGGAGTGGAGTCACGTCGATTCAATTCAAACATCCTAAGCGTCACTTCAACAGTCAAAGGTCAGACACATTTATTTCCTCACTGACTTGCTGACCAGAAGGCCACACACTCAGACACAAGCTGTCCAATTATCCACATGATTACTTTCAGGGCACAGAGAATGATTTCATCTTTCATGGCCACTGGATCAAATCTGTGCTGGTCATTAGTGCAGACTCTCATCAAGACTGTTTAAGCACAAGGCTGCTTCACTAACATCTGCACTGAAACTCAGCGATCACTCACCGGGTTAAACACATAAGGTTAAAAAGTATGCAATAATGAGAAAACCCTACACTTAGTACCTTCAAGTTCATCTTAGGTGTTTGGAAGAGATGATCATTTTTAGGGAACAGGAACATTTACACAATTACAACTCACAAAGTGCATAAATGACCACCAGAGAAGAGAAGAGAAGAGAAAAGGGGTCTGGTTCGGGGAACAGAAGATAAAAGAGAAAAAAAGTACTTTTATCTTTTTGTGAAGCTTTACTTCCTGTAGGCTTCAAGCGTCTTAAAATGCCAAACATCTGCCGAAGTAGAGATAAAATCTCAACTTAAAAATAAAAGAAACAAATTATTCAAGTCATTCTTCCTTTCTTACAAAGCCCGGTGTGCGCATCAGGGTTGGAGGGGCTTTGCTTGTTAAACAAAGCACACCCAGCCCCCTTTTCCTGGATTTCAATGTCTTAAAAAGCGCTCATTTCATGAGTACAGTACTTCAAAATAGAAACTCAAACAAGTTTCAGCATGACTATTTAAAAAAACAATATTTCTATGTTTAACCGATTGAATAAAATCGCTTTGATGATGCGTTTTCAAGTCCTTAAAAGGAGATTTTGTTTTGACGCTGGACAGTTGATTCAAATGCTTTGCACCTGATCTTCAGCTAAAATCATACAAATAACCAACCAGCTAGTTATGAATATAAGAGACAGAGGTGCAGTGAGCAGCAACTGTAAGCAACCAAAGTGGAAAGAAAAGGAAACCACCAGTTATGCAGAAGCAAAGTGCAACTGTGAGATGAAGATGTGAAAACTAAGGTCTAATTTAAATTAAGACATTTTTTCTTGTACATGTGGGATCATTTCTTGAGTCAACACTCCTGTAAAATAAAACTGAGGATGGGAAACAATAGTGAAAATCCATGCGTGTGTGTGTGAGCATTAGCAATTATTAAATTCAAGCTTTTTCTGTGTATTTGTTTCTTTTTTCAGTTCAGGTATCTCGTTTCGGAGAACTGCAGGTGCATGTGTGACCGTATGTCTGTGAACACATAATGAAGTGTATGGTGATGGGAAATGTGTGTGTGTGTGTGTGTTTGGGTGTAAAAGCTGGCAGAATAAAACCAGCGGGTGCTGCAGTTTAGCGAGGCCCAGCCGGGGGAGCCAGCGAGCAGACGCTGGAGGCCGTGTTGGTAATCCTGGTGTGCGTCGGATCCTGACCGGTCTGAACGCGGCTCCCTTAAGTCAGCTGGTGAGGCGCCTCGAGCATCTCCATCAGAAAGGTGTCAATGGGCGTGTCACCAATCAGTTTGAAGAAGAAAAGATGCTCCAAGCACTTTAGACCGATGGAGCGCAGTGCTGGGAGTCGGAGGAGGAGCTTGGCAAACCTGGACGAAGAACAAATGGGTTAATGAAAAATCAGACACTCAGAAAACTGAATTTACTGAACAATGAATAACCGTAAAAAAAACTTTCTGTCTAAAAAGGTTTAAAGTTTTCCTGTACCTGCCCTGCTGGTCAGGGTATTTTTGTTTGCAGTACGCTTCAAGTGATGCATAAACTCTTTCTCGCAGAAGCTCCACCTCACTGGGATTGGACAAACCCTTGGCATCTTTTAACAGCAAAAGAAAAATATACAATCAGAACATCATGTAAAATAACCTGAATATCTGCCTAGAACTGTTTCAACAAGGTTTTTGATGTAACAACAGTCTTTACCTGGGTTAAAGAGGATGATAGCTCGAAGGCAGCCCAGCTCTGACTTGTCCATCTGCATATCTCTCATTTTGCTTACAAGCTCTGTCAGAACCCTGAAGAGAAAAGAGATATGCAGTAGGGCGATACATACAGGGGGAATGCCACAATGGTGGAATTCATTAAGAGAACAGAAGTAGAGGAGAGAATGGAAGAAAAAAATCAGAATATTAAAAAAAGAGACACGGAGGAAATGACTTGTAAGAAAAACAGACTCCATTAGCCCACATGGTTATTCATAATTGCTTCTCAATGGTTATCACAGTAGGTATGGCATGGCTGAACTGCTGGTTCTGCACAAGAAAATAAAGAAGGGGGGGAAAAAAACGTTTTAAACCAGAGTGTCAAACCTAACAGCTGACTGAGAGCTGGTCTGCTTAAACACAGATCTGCTAGAAAATCTGTGAAGGTTGATAATGTTGACGTCAAAATCTGAAACGACTGTTGAGGAAACAGGAACACAAATCCATTTTAAATACATACAATTTAGTTTTAACAAATTTTATTTTAAGCACAAGTTTGTCATCCAGAGATCAACATTTTTAACTGCTGCTGGTATTTTACAGGTTGAGCTTTTAGCATTTCTGTTTGTTTTTACTTTGCTTCGTGATATCTAAATACACTTTTTTTTTATTCTTTAAGTATGGAAGCTGAAATGAAACCTTCTGCTTTTATATTCTCACAATTTGCTTTGCATGTTCCTTATGTGCACATTTAACTTCGTCTAAGTAAAATATGTTAATTTAGGAATCTGGGTATCATCCACTCCTGACGTCTGAATTCAAAAACCTGCCTGAAACATCTGACTTGTTTATCAACATGTATAAACAAAAAAAGTTAACATGCGTGTGAGAAATGTAATAATTTATTAACAGCATCACACTGAAATATAACCTGTAATAAAAAATACAAAGAAACCATCAAGAAGGATTCAGAAAAACAAAGTCATGCAAATTAGGATCTGCTTGCTTACTTACTGATGGATCATCTAAGATCCGGACGAAGGTTTACTGTTTAATGTATTTTCACAGGCATCACCGAACCACAATACCATAATTATGGTTTCTAGACTGATAGTGTAGATTAATTTAGTTTGAAAGTTAGTGGTATAAAAGAAGGAAAGAGAACATTTTTCAGAACGTATGGAGAACACATGCTACTGATGTGATGAAATGGGTGTGCCCAATCACAGGTGGTGTTTACTGACGCAGGCCAACACAATTTCCATAAGTGGCATAAATAAAAGAACTGACGACTGGTGGAATACCATTTTCATCCAAACACAAATCATTTGACTCCTCTGCAACAGCTTAGAAAATCCAATTCACTCATTTCCGTTTTGCTGTTTTTGTCTCAGAAAGAATCTGATGTCAAACGCAATGGGCAGAACATCCCTCTAATGTTCAAATGCAACGAAAGCCATAAAAAGAAGAAAAGGTCAAGCCAGCTACATGACAAGGCTGAGTAGTTTCTGTTCAGATTTTTGTGTTGTACCAAGGGATCATAAAACTGTTGTTACGATCTAGAAAGAGCCTTAAAGTCTCAGCTTCTCTGTTTATTTTCACATTGAGTCAAAGAGGAGGGGTTCAAGAGAAGTGTTTGTGTAGTGGCGTAATTACCTGTCAAATAGGGCCCCAACCTCAGCATTGTTCGCCCTGTGTATTCAATCACAATGTGTTATTACAATGTCATTACACACATTACAATATTCTGCCTGTGTGCTGAGAACTTCACCTCTACATGTCGTCCATGCTTAGACATGACTTCACCACTTTAAAACTGAACTCATTTGAAATCTGTTGTCTGGATTTTCTGCCTGGGGTCAAATGCTTTACAAAATATTTAAAAAGTAACTAGAACAAAATCATGATGTTCCTATATCTTTTAGTAAGGAGGAGGAGATTATGATAAATGTCATATTTCAAATCATTAATACCAGAAAATTACAGATGAATCCACTGACTAGTGAAAATGTTTCAAATGTTTCACTGTTCCTGATTTGCATGCAAATAAATAAAAATTGTAACAGATGTAGCTCTATAGTGTATTAAAATTATAGAGAAAATCATTTTTCACATTAACTGACAAATGGAGGTGTTGTACTTCATTCTTCCTTTTAATGCATTTAAAAGTGTGTCAAAAAGTAACCACTTTTGGGTTTTGGGCAAAAAAACTAAAATCAAAAATTCTTGCCTCCAATAAACAGTAAAGGCGATGTGATCAAACTTAAAACAGAAATAAAAGTTTTTCTAATTGACGCAAAAAACAAGCAAGTTTAAGAATCTAATCCTTCCTTGTTTGTTCATGTAAACAGGCCTATTTACTTTTAAAAGCCACATTTATAAATTATTCTAAACTGGAAACACGTCAGGCATTAAAACGTCTTTCATTACTTTAATAACAATTCAGACATATGATGCCTTGACGCAACCTGGGTGTTTACAAAACGTCAAATGACACAAAGCAGCTTTTTGTTGATAATATGGTGGATCAGATTTGAGAAAAAGTAGATGATGATCACACTGTTCCTTAGATCAAATGTCTAAATAAAACTTTAGATGCATCTCTGAACCAACACACCGGAATCACATGACTAAATCGCTGCAGACATTATGTATGGAAAGTTAAAAATTAAATAGATAAATGCATAATTAATTAAATGTACCATAACAAATAGAAAATAATCTAGTTGCAGGAGGAGATCTGAGTTTTTAGGCAATTATCAGCAGAAAATGAATGACTTGCAATGAGTCAGATTTACATAAGACCATTGAAATCTACAGCAAAGCTAATTATTTGTTATCAAAGAATTATAGTGTAATTGACAGTGGATTAACACGTTGTGATCAGACTTTGATTTTCTTAGGAAGTTCGAACATCTGCAGCAATACATTTTAATCAAGGCAGATAAGAATCTAATACATGGATGGAAGCAGATAACAGATATAAAAGTTTCTTAACACTTTAAATGAGACAGCAGCATTTTACCTAAGCTTTGCTTTTTAGCGGTAATCACCATAAAACCACCTACTATGTATGGTTTATCACATTAGAAAATGTCTTCAAATTAAGATAAAATATACCAAAAACAAAAAAAACTTAAAATACACACATGCTTTATAACATTCACAATAACAGGATGCACGCTTAACATCAAAATTAAATCAGTTTAAGGAAACTGCTCTGAAATCTTTATTTGTTAGTATTGTTTTTATTCTCCAGCCATCATTACTGGATTAATATATTCTATAGTGGGTGCTAGGCCACTAACTCAGGGTGGGTCTGCATGCATGGGTAAGCATTAATCACCAGCCTCCCTTGCCTTGCATGCACTAAAGACGGACAGCCAGAACAAAAACAATAATAAAAAAAAAACAAGCAGAATCTTTCAGCCAATGCAGAACACAGCAGTTGCAGCCAACCAAAGATGAGAAGATACTATCCTAAGAACTTAGCCCAGTCAATAATTAATAAACTAAAACAGCATTAAACGCTAATCAAGAGTATAAAACCATTGAGACGAATGATTGTTAAATCGGAAGGTAAAATCAAAGGATATTAAATTTGATCTCTTAGTATGGGATAAATTGTACAGTTCAATTTGAATAAAAATATATTTATTATTTGAAATCCCTCCAGTTAGCAGTATTTTTATACATAAATCTGTAGAGTAATGAGAAAGCTTTTAACTGCTGCATATCTTCTCCTTCTATACATGCATATGCAAATTACCTGTCGAATATGGCTCCGACCCCTGCGCTGTGGGCGCTGTTCCTGTGGACATGCAGGCCAGTGGCCAGTAAAATGCCGTCCTTCACCGAGATGGAGCGATGGGAGAAGGACGCAATCAGGAGCTCATTCCAGCCTGTTGGGGAGTCGGTGTCTCAGTATCTGAACTGGGTCTTAAAGAATCTCTCTCTCTCTAGTCATTTCTAGAGCTGTTTAACCATAATAATGTCTAGAAACGAATCAAAAGTAGCTTAATTATTTAAGGTTAAAAGCATCAAATACTTTAAATTCTACTAAAACTAAATGTGTTAGAATAGTTGCTAGTAAATAAAAGAAACCTGGATTTTTGGCAGTTTTTCTAGCTGGTTTTACACAAATAAAAGGCAACAAGATCTGTGACCATCCTTAACTTAGAAGGACGGTCTTCAAGTAAAGTCTTAACACACAGGAGACGGTTTCATCCATACTTGATGAAAGTAGATCAAATTATACTTTTCTGACTGCATGGGAAAAATATTAAAGTTGAACCACTATTAAATAAATTTGTTTGAAAGTTATTATTTAGTTTATCAGGATAGTTTTTGTATTGGATTTGCAGGATTCATCCTCTTATACGGCACGAGAAAAAACAAAACCCGCCAAGGCTCTGTCAGGAAGCAACGTATGAAACATGTTGCATTTAAAATAATAATAATAATAATAATATTAATAATAATAATAGTTGGTTCATAACACATCAGATTTGTCAATATTTTCAGTAATAAGTACCTTCTCCAAATCCCACCAGTACCACTTGTGCCTCTGGATGAAGGATTACATGAGCTGTAATGATTCCTTATACTTTTTATAATGATTGTATTGGAGTTTCCTTTGTTTTATACTTGTTGTTTGCATTGATTGTATTTCGTATTGACAAAATGTGTGTAGTTGTGTAATTTTTAACCTTCTTTTGTATGACCTTTGTTTGTTTTTAGGATCACAGAGGACTCATTGTCCAAGGGCAACAGATGGGAAACAGCCTTTTTGCTGATTCTGATGCATTTACAGAAATATCAATGACTGTTTGGCACAGGCATGTATATTAGCACATTTCAAATTTGAAAAAGTTTGTTATATTTTAAGACCAGGATACAGGTTTAAGCTACAGATAATAAAATCCTGATCATATCAAGTTATGACACTCCAGTTGTGACCAGGACTAACCTGCGCGGAGCAAGATGACCTGGTCATCCAGAGGAAGCTCAGAGAAGTGAGGGATCCTCTTGGCCCACTCCACCAGAGTGAAGAGCTGCTTGTCTGCTGCCTGACAGATGTTGGTAACCGGATCGTTGGGCTGAATTGAGAAATAGAGGCAATTTATTTTCTTAGGAACATTCTCCTAGGAATATTTAATTAGATTGGAAGAATAATAAGATATGAATAATTTTTAAATAACTTCAAACTTGCTAATTAATTCAGGATTTAATTTCTAGTATGGTAGTTACTCACAGAGCTTCCGTCTGAACTTCCATCTGCATGAAGCTCCGTCTTTTGCTCGACAGCCATCTCAGCTTCCAAAATCTTCTCCACCGGCATCTCCTCGTTCACTGCGCTGGTCGACTCCACCTCACCTTCGCGCTCCTTGTTTCTCTGCCGCTCCTCCTGCACAGCTGCAGAACGAGGGATCGGAGCGGGACAGGAGGAGCACGGGATCAACAATATTGGAGAAAAGGGTGAGAAAAGTAGAGAAAGTGTGATGAGGATGAGAAAGTAGGACAGAAAACATGAAGAACATGAAAGATTAATGAAAGCAGTAGAAAGAAGGGCATTGGTTTCAAATATGGACAAAATGTGTGGGAAACGAGAAGAAGAAAAAAATGTATAGAGATCAGCATCAGAAAAAAAAAAGCAGAAAGAGAAGCAGAGAAATGAAAGAGATCAGCATGAAAACATGGAAAAGTCAGTCAAATATCAAAGATTTCTGTTCTTTTACTTTTCTGTATTTTGGGAGCATTTTAATTCACACAAGCCACTGTAACTGGTGCAGATGCAGTGGAGACAATTAAACATTAAAATCATGAATTACTTGGCTGCAAAATGATTAAAATATTGTCCAAGAACAACATGTGACGCTACTGAAGCAATGTAACTCCTGAACAAGAGTTTAAATTCACAATCAAGGAACTGCTTCCCTTCACCAATGCCCTCATCATTATGTTACACAACAGAATAACTTAAATATCAACAAACATAAAATATTATCACATCAGTCAATTATTACTATTCAGTAAATAAATATTTTCATAGAAATCAGTAATAACCATTTAAAGCTGCGGTTCACAATTTTTAGCACTGACAAAAACCACTTATTTCTAATTTATATTATTTGATCCCCAAAATCTTCCAGATATTTTAATCCTCCAAACCATAATGAGGTAAATTATCTGTTGTGAATATAGTACTGGGTGATAAAATTACCTGAAATCTGTTCATTTGGCCTCATCAACCTAAAAGCAGTTTGTGGTTTGAATGTCCTCAGTACAACATGTACTCTTATGTACATACTGTGTAAAAATGGCAATAAAACAAGGATGTGGAGGGAGTTTTCCACTAGTAATTGATGCAGAAACACTCATTAAATGAATCCTCTTATCCACCAGACACGCCCTGTTGCTGCCAATATAACATTTTTTATCTTTTTTCTCCAGTTTGTGAATAATGTTTGATTTAGGACTGTTTCTTAGTCTCTGGATTAGTCCTGATTTATGCCCCTAAGGAATGCTGTTTATAAAAATGCTTTTTTAAAAAGTTCCTAAAACCAAGAAGTTTTATGTATTATTGAAAGTAATTATTACTCCATGAAAACCTTTGGGTTGAATCAGTTAAATGTGTGAAAGTAACATTTAATATTGAATTAGTGTGATACATTTTTGTTGCGAAACAGCAAGCCTTTGCTCCTCTGAGTCCTCTAGCGCCACCCAGGCTGGAAATCAGAGCCTTAAACACTTTCAATAGGAGAAAATAACAACGTCACTTTATTTACTGTTGGAAACAATGTAGTTAAATAGCCTTTACTTAGGCAAGCGCTTTAAAAAAAACTATTTGCTTTCACAACAATCTGTTCTCATCAACTTGAGAAATGGGAGAGAGAAAATTAAATGTTGTGCAACTAAACCACAAACAAAGAAAACGAGCAACAAATAAAAGAAAAAAGTGCAGGAAATTAACATTTCTACTTCCAGGCCCACAAGCATCAAAGTCTCATTTAGCCTCTGAACAAATGTGGAACGGCTCTGTGGTCCATGGCAGGAAATTTGCCCTAATTGTGCAGCAATCAGATGGGAGTAGAATAGCTTTTTAGAGAATGGGGTTTGATTAAAGAGGAGTTTGTATATTTGGCTAGCTGCGCGTCCACAAAGGGTGAAAACACCTATAGAAGTCATTCAAGGCTTAATCTGGCCTGCGTCTGAGGCCTGGCATTAAACTACGGAAAAATATGTTAAATGAGGTCCTTCTAAGCGACAGCAAACGTAATATGCCTCTATGCCTTGATCGCTCATACAGACAGCCACACCCCCCTCCCTCTCTCTTCTCCTTACATCTGTCGTTCATCTTGGCCACTACAGAAGGAGGGAGGGGGAGAGAGAGAACGAGAGGAAACACAAAAGAGGAAGAGAGGGGGCAAGGGGTTAGTGTTTATAGGACTCATCCACCCCACATCCCCCTCTCCTTCTTCCCATCCTCTACTGTAAACACGTCACCCCCCTTCCTTCAGATGCAGAATATCAACGTCACTGTTTGTCACGCTGTTCAAGTAGCAATCAAATAGATATCGCCTCATCTGTTCAGTTTGACGCAATAAAACGGACACCAAATATTCAAGCCCAAACAGAAAAAAAAGTTACAGATTATGTAAACACTGCCTGGGTTGTTCCACATTGGCAGATAAATTTATAATCTGTGAGAATTGAGAGCAGCGCTGTAGAGACAGACCAATCAGTGTTTTCCACAAACTGACCAGAGATTACACTAAAACATTCAAAAATTATTCAGCTGCTGTGATTGCAAGGACAATTAAAGCAGAAATGATGTTTCTCTAAATTGTGAGTCTCTAGTTTTTCAGTAGCAAAGAATAACAAAAATGTATTATAATCTGATCTGATACATTTTATTTTTAAATAACTGCAACAGGTTGGTAGGGCTATTTTAGATCAAATTATTGTCATTTTAAAACATACAGAGAGAAAAATATGAAATTATGAAAAATAACTGAGAAAATGATATGGAACGATATGTATTCCTGACAGAGACAATACTAAATATTGACCAGGTCTGTGATGAAAATAAAAAAAAGAACCTATATTATCAATATTGATGCAATGATAGGTTTGTAGGGCTGCACATTGTGTCATGAATTTTATCACAAAGAAGAGGCCGGAGAGCAACAGAGTTAGCTAAGTCTCTGTACCACCAATACATCCAGTGACACTTCTTGTTTAAGGCAGAATAAAAAGTTTTAAAAGGCAAAAAGGTGATAAATTAACTACAAACGAGTCGTTTCAATACCAAAACCAAAAGACATCAGCCAAAAGAAATATTTTCCAAAATAATCTTGTTATGGCAACAGTCATCAATATTATCATATATAGTATGTTTCCTTAATATTTTGCAGCCCTAATTGTTTTTATTGGTGTCACATATTGTCAAATATTACAACTAATGAGTTTAAAAGAGTTGAGTGAAATATGCAAGAACTTCCTGAAAGGCCTTTAGCTTTGAATGTTCCTTCTGGACATTTTCACTTTACATGGCTAAAGTATAATTAATTTAGGTCAAATAAATACACAAAGTATTTATTCTAGAATAACACTGAGATAATAAAAATGCACTGCTAACCTGACTGGTTCTTAAACTTCTGAACTTTCCACATTAAGAGTTTTATATAGAACAGTCTTTAATTTAAGCAGCACAGTTATGTGCTATACTTATTCAAATAGCTAGTTAGGGGTGTTTAAGTTTAACTGCTGCACTTTTAGGTTTTTCTGTTTGCACAACTTATCTGATGTATTCAAAAAACGAGAAGTAGTGTTTGATACTCCAAAAACGACCCGTTAGCAGCTTCCTGACTCTCTTTAACCCTAAGATTATTTACTTTGTTTCTTATTTAAAATATTGAACAAAATTTAACGACAGAAAAAAACTTTTCCTGTGAAAAAGGCTGATGATTTTAAAAGATTTTTGGGAGGAAGATATTCACAAAATGTGTTCCTCTCTTGAACTGCAAGTTAAAAAAAAACAAACAAAAAAACTGAAGGGGATTTGAAAGAACATCCCAACCCCAGAGTGCTTAAAAGAAAGCTATTGATCTCTTTGAAAGCTGTCCCTTTCTGCTGTATTTGTCTTATGAAACAGAAACATCTATCTTGGGAATAAATGGAAGTCTCTGGATCCTTTTAATGCTTTCTCACCTTCTCTCTTCATTCCCATCGCCAGGCATTTCTGATAGCGGCAGTACTGGCAGCGGTTCCTCTGTCTTTTATCAACTGTGCAGTCTTTATTGTCCCGACAGGTGTAGGTAAGGTCTTTTCGCACTGTTCTCTTGAAGAAGCCTTTACAGCCCTCACAGCTGTAGACGCCATAGTGCTTACCTGAAAAGCAAACGTTAAAGTAGATAGAAAAAGTCAGTCAAACAACTGCAAATTTCTTAAATGTTTCAAACATGTTTCACTGGAACAGTGGAACTGAAGAGGTTTACACACCAGAAGATCTGTCTCCACAGATGGAACAAAGGCGTTTCTGGGAAAGCATCGGCCCTGGGCTGTGGGCAGACAGCTGCTTCAAGCCAAGAGGAGGTTTCACATCATCGGAGCTGCTCACTGCATGGAGCCCTGACATGGTCACTGTTGAGTTAATCTAATAGACAAAAGACAGTAGAAAAAAAATTGTTAATCAAGAGCCATCCGTGGTTAGTTATTCTTTTAAAAACTTGCATTTGCCTTTTTGTCCCAAACTATTTTCATATCATACAGTAAAACAAAGTCAGATCATGAACCTTCATGAAACCAAAATAACAAAAGTAGCAAATAGGTGTATTAACTAGGCCCAAAATAAAAGCAATGTTACATATTTTCCTCCATCCCTTCAGGTTCCACCTGTGTTGATGTCTCACTCTAAAAATCTCACAATAAACAATAAGAAAAGGTTTGAGCCTAAAATATAGGCGTCATATATCTGTCTCAAGATAAATTTAGAAGTGAAAAATGGAATGAGTAATGATTTAATCAATACTGAAAAAAGGGAATGACAAATACTCAGAAATACAGGAGCCAAAATTGTCCCAGCTTACCTGGGGGCTGCTAATTGGGCCATATCCCACTGAAGGTGTGCCAGGTAGGCAGGGTGAGTCCAGTGATGAGCTAATAACAGAAAAGGGTGAACCAATACTACTGATGGGGCTGTTGACCCCTGTGGTGGTGATGGGTGGCAGTGAAGTCATGGAAGCTGCTGAGGGAACCAGCGGCGGGGAGCGCTGGCCCGAGGGAGGGGAAGACACAGACGAACTGTCTGGACTGCAAGAATCTGACGAGAAAAAACAACAGAGAGAATGTAAAAGAGTTTCAAACACATGTGCAACGAAAAAAGGTAACAGAAACCTGCTGTCAGCTGAACAGTTTTTAAGTAAAAGTGTGGAAAATCAGTTTAACTATTTTGATATCAAATCATAAACTGAAGCTTTAAAATATAAAGAAAATATTTTTTTATTCAACTGACCCATCAAATGATTTACTGAAGTTTCCAAATTGCATCTTTTTAGATAAAAACTGCTAAACAGCATTTAAGATGAAATTGGCATAAATTTTCCATGAAGTTCTGAAACAAACATGCATTTATTAAACATCGGACAAAAAATGTAACAACACATGACAATAGTACAATTACTAATTACAGTACAATTAATTTAAGAAATCTTTTCATTATAACAATCTGAATTTATTAATTTTATATTTTATTTTACACAACCAGAGGTCAGACTGAGTTTGGATGTTGTGTTAAAGAAAATGTCAGTTTTCTGCAAACAAACACTGACAGATTTGACAATGATAAATTCCACCACAGTGTTTTTTTTATGATCACTTCAAAAAGTTGACACTATCATCTGTCACTGTCAAAACTGCAATGTCTCTGCTTTATGCTGGTTTTTGATTCATCTGTTTATTTTTTCTTGAGATAAGACAAATCAGCTGACTAGACCAGTCCTTGTAACACTGCTCACACTCATAAACAAGCACAACGCTCTAAAGAGTTCATTTCTCACAAAGTGAAATAAATAACATTTACTCATAATACAGTAATAAAGATTCACAGCTGTTAGTTGACAGTTAACAAACTCTAGAGTTAACACTGCTATAAAACAACTCCTTAAAGAAATAAAACATAATATACATATATATTTAAATCTTTGGACTCAAAGATAGAGATATTTTTTCTAAGAACTTATTACAGCCATTTGTATATGTCACATTGTAACATTTAGGCAAACGAAATAACCTCATGAAACAATTTTTATTGCTAAAAATAAAACGTGTTACAACCCGCTTTGCTATTTTAGGATGATAATTTGGAGAAGTGAGCAAGTGTTGCCACGGTGTCTTATTATAACCATGGTTTTGTTAATGTTGATTTTAATATGCATGCAAGTATAAACTTTTAATAATTAATACAAATATTGTTTCTTGTGAACAAACCATTAGAAATAAATAGATCTGTGTCGTTTTTTTTTTTTTTTTGCTCACCTCTGCTGTCTCCCATGGTGGTGGTTGGGGCGCAGGGGCTGCTTGGCAGCGTCAAGCCGGCGTTCCTGCGTCTCCAACAGCTCAGTGTCAAACTCGAGACCGCGGACTGAGGCCCGGGCCGGAGTCGGGTTGGGAAACCAAAAACGGGTCTGAAATTCCAACACAAGGAAGAGCAAGAAATAAAAATAAACACACGAGGCTGACATTTCAGTGACGGCAATCAGAATCAAACAGTTGCGCAAATGATTGCGATGACTTAATCTGCTGCTGCCAGAAGTCATAAAAGCGAATCAGTTGATTTTTTTTTTTCTGGTCATTTTGTGCAACGTTACAGTCTGGCTTTGAAAAGCAGCCAGCTGCTCAGCTGGTGCCAAGAACGTCCTGTCCGGATATATTACAGGGTTGTAATAGATCAATATAAATCCAACAGTGTGTTACTGACATAACACATTGTGCGTTTATCGCAGTGATTAAAACATCTCACAGCAACATAGCCCAGACGGAGCCCTGACAGATGTCAACAAACCACTGCTGCTTTCAGACAGCCAGTCGGTAGGGCTCGTAAACTAGCCAAGCTAACGTCGCAAGAAAACTTAAAATATCAGACCGTGTCGCACTAATAACTTGTTTTACTTATTTTTCAATGTGAAATCAAACGCAACGCAGTCGACACGCAGTTTAAAGGAAGTTGATATTTCTTGTCACGTTTATAAACCATAAATTAGAGTCTGTTTTAAGTTGGCAAGGTAAGCTAGCTATGTTTAGCCACCTAACCTAGCAAGCTAACTGGATAGCTAAAGTGGATCAGAGGAAAACAGGACAGACAAGAACAAACCGGATTATTACTGGCAGTCCTGCCTCTGTCTCATTCTCTCTCGCATATATCCTAGCTGAATTAGCTAAATGTATATTTATAGCAAATAAAAACGGATTACTGACGGTTTAACGGCGCAGCTTCTTCGCGTGAAAAGATGTGGCGACTAGGCCCCGTGTGTCTATCTCTCCCCCCACTTTGCCTCGCATTCAGCCCTCCCTCCCTCGCTTCCTCCCCCTGCGCTGATGAAAACATGATGATGGTGGAGGATTTGGCTTAGTGCTCCTGTACAGTTGAACATTGGCCCCGAAAATCATTGCAACAGCAACAGAGCACCCTGGTTTCGGAGAGAGGATGTGTGGTCATGATGCGCCTCACATGTCCCTGAGAGAGGGAGACACATCCAGTGCAAGAGGTCAGGAGGTCAAGACAAGTTCAGCTTTGCATTTCAGTAGCTCCAAAGGTTATTGTCGGACATCGGTGACTTCATCAGTTTCGTTACTGCTTGAACCAGTGTGCACTCTTATGCAATACACAGAGTTTTATTGCACCGAAATTCCTCTAATCACTGCTGAGTCAACACACAAATGACCCGATTTAATACATACTGTTTACTTTAGTTTTTGAGTCTAACGATTAAATAATGCAAACTAAATAAAGGTATATGGGGTGAATTTTAGTTCTTCAGAACCAAATAGTAACCAAAATAGATCAGTGCAGCATGTCTACCTAAAAAAACCTGAAAAACTCTAAATTGCACAAATGTTTTTGCTGAATATTTTCATATGCTGTCAGTCTTAAGAAGCTGCAATAACAAAACTCAATGATTGTTTTAATTAAAAAAATAACTGTACTCTTTATTGTGTAATTAACATTATGTGGGACTAAATAAAAGTTCTGTTAGGTTCACTTCTATGGTATTTCTTCCATTTAATATTAGATTAGTTCAGCCACATATTTGAAGTCTTCATTTTCTGCTTTTAAATCAATTTTCTTTTGTTTCTATAGGGGTTGCAGCTATCAAATTGGATAAAATTTTGCATTGGATATTTCCAAATCTAAGTGCAAAAATAGCCTGATTTTTTTTTTTTCCAAACATATTCCAAACTAATTCATTGTATATATAATAGCATACAATACAAGCCTATTTTCTGTGGAATTTTATTTGAAAGGGAGCATCTTGAAAATATGACACTAATATAGAATTCATGTAAATTAACTTTTTTATACGAATGAAACATTTTAATTATGTCATAGTAAAATGTAGTCATTAAACAATATGTATATATAATTAAATCTCAGAAAAAATGTCAAACAGTTAGGTTCATTATTAAATCAAATTTTGCATTTATTTATAGTTTCTCCTTCTGTTAATACACATGTCTAATAATAATACAGCTCATGTTTCTTGGATGTGTTTTTCTTCATAACATTTTTGTTTTTTAGCAGGACATTCCAGCTCTTGATGAAAATTCGTTTCTTTCAATAGATATTTGAAATACATTATCACCCCCAAGTGGCTTGACGTGGTACTACAATTACAAGCTTACAGTGCCTGGAATAAATAAAGCCGAAAGACAGATGAATAAACCCAGTTTTATTTGATTTAGTAAAATTACTGAAATTCTAGCCATATAATAGTGGAATTAATTGTATCCCATAATTTCTTGAAGAAATATGAAGGAAACTGCTTGGAATCCTACATCACTTGACACAAAAATTTATTTTTGGGGAAAATAATTGTGGATAAAATGATGCCATAACACTATTTATAAGAAATTTAACTTCCTTGTCTGAATTTATTACACCATGGTTTTAACAGATAAGCAAACCCAATTACTAGTCCTTGTGCAGTTAAGTTAAATGAATGCTAAATGTTAGTCTCAGCTACTTTTAAAGGCTTTAAATTCAGACAAAGGGGATGACCATCATTCTTTGTCATTCTCCTCCATAAAATTAGAAAAAAAGTTTAGCTTTTTGCATTGTTTTTTTAAATCAACAGAAAAAGACAGGGAACAAATCTTGACATATTGTTTTCAATCATTTTATTCTGAAAACATGTAAGTATATTACAAAAGCATCAGATTTTAAAACAAGGTACAAATAATAATATTTTAAATCAAATAAAAGCAACTGAAGTCCAAATTCCAGCTTTATCTTCATGTTTTACAATGTTTTTAAATTTTAATATTTATCATATTAGCTATACACATTTATCCAGATTTCAACAGAAGATGGTATTTTTACATCTATCCTAAAATAAACTGTTTCTGAGTGTTGCATTTCCATATGACTAAAATAGCCTTTTGCATCCTGTTATGTTGTTGCTGCTTGAGCTTTTGTATTCAATCCTATTTAGTACAAGGAAAGCCTTAACATATTGTGAGTTGACTGATGGAAGCAATCGATTACACCTTTTAATATTACCTAGAAACTTCAAAAACTGAACCCCAGCCTGGCCATTTCTTGCATTTCAAACAAACACTAATTAATGCTGAAGATGTCACTATCTAAATATGTGCATGTGTGCCTCATGCATGTGTGTGTCAGTGCTGCGTTAGGGATTAGCCCCAGTGTGTGTCCACTAGTGATTAGCCTGGTCAGTGGGCCTGTTGTGCATTCACTCAGGACATTAGCATATTAATGCAGCCTCGCTCTTGATCTCCCTCTGCCCTCTAACTCTCCCGCTCTGTCCCTCTCTCATGTTTTCTCTTTCTCTATACATATTTCCCAGACTGCAATGTTGCTTCCTGCAGCTTCAATCTATAAATCTCACCAATTTACGTTCCTCGTGCTGTGAAGCAGCACACAATCTGGCCACACAAATGTCAAGGTTCCTGGTCTTCTCTTTCCCTCCAAAAATCTGCCTCTCCCCCCACTCTTTCTGCACCACATTCAAATCCTTCACTTGCTCTCATTTTCCCTTTTCTTTCTCCAGGTCTGACTCCCCCCTGAACTTTGTCAAACACAGGAAAACACACACAGAAGCAAATTCACAGGAGCAAACACAGAGAGGGTGAGTCCACACTCACTCACACACACACACACAGATTTCCAATCCCCATTCATTCTCCTTTTCTGTCACTTTACCCTTTCCAGTGCAAATTTAGCAAGACCTGCTTTAGACTTCAGTGCTGAAGTGTGAGCCGAACACATTCAAACTTTAACCTTGTTTCCAAAATGAGGATTCTCCTGATCTGCAGAGCAAGATGAGCAGAAACAATTAGACATGCCACCTGTGTGAAAGAAACACTTAAAGTTAGCAGATATTCAATTAATTGGAGTTAATTTGCACTCTTAAGTGATACAAGCTGGATCACATATTTTGCAAAGAGAAACATTAATGCTTTCAAAGGACTTTTCATTTTTGAAAAAATATATGAGCTTAGCATAGACACAAAGGTGATGTTTATGTTGGATTTAGGCAAATCAGGTGCCTTCCTCTTCACTTCCTGTATTTGTTACCAGAAAAAATAGTTAGCACATAAATGCAATATTCCATTAAAACTAAGTTTAAGAAACTTTGATGAAAAGCATCTAGAGCAATGAATCTTAAAATTCTTATTAATAAAACCTTCAGGATGTCTTGCAAAAATGTCAGATGAGTTTCTTGAAGGCTTTAGATTTACATAAACTCACACTCTCTGCCTCGTTCAATAGCATTCTCCCTCTTTCTGTTTGTCTTTCTGCGCCTCACTTTTCCACCCACAGAGCCGCTGAGTTTGATCCCATCCATGCTGGTCTGACCCTCGCTGATGTTGGGAGGTCAGGGGCGTGATGTCCATCCACAACTCCTGGTTTCACAAAGGCAGACGCAAGAATTGCGTTTGGACAATCAACTCCAGACCTCCGTGTCTCCTTTGGTCATTAGAGGACTCACATTCTTGAAGAGGCAGGTGCATCGCCTGGTTGGGTGGCAGTTGATGCATTGCTGATTTAGTGATTGAAGTTTTAAGCCACCAAGCGCTGGGAGAGGATCCAAAATATCAGTTTGTCCACTTGCTGAGAAAAAAGGTTCAAAGCAGTGTTTGTCCGTGGCCTTCAGGTCAGCGATTGTGGATGACAAAAAAAAGAAAGACCTGAAAAAAAAAAAAAGAAATAACCAAGAATAAGCCTGAGAAAGAGAAAGGGAAAAAGCGCTAACTCATGCTTGTATTCTGAGCCGGTGACACCATGATAAACGAAGGGGTCACCACCCGGGGGCAGGCCCGTCCTAAAGGAGCCAGCGCTGTGACCTTGCACAAAAGAAGGAGTGGGTCCCCCCAATGGTCACACGGATCAAAGAGGACAAAAGCCTGAGATGATAACTCAGCACAGCAGTTGTGCACCTGATTATCAAGCACATAAGCAACAGGGGTAGAAAATTTCCCCAAGTTAGATCAAGTGAGGGTGGAGTAATGGGATGCTTGAGAATTAAATAGTAAAACCGTGACTCACTCTAATCTGATTTGCCGAATGCAACATTTTCTCTTTATCTGATTCGCTCTGTTAGGCGTTCTCTCTTTCTGTGGGACTCCGTCTTTATCCAAATGATGCGGTCTTTGGTGAGGCCTGGCCTATTCATCCGAACCCCATGTGCTGTGTGCCCACCATTGAGGTGCAGAGTAGCATGGTCACAAAGAATGGCAGCAACTCAGCAAGCTTGTTCCTTAAAGTTTTAAGCCTGTGTTCAGAATAAAGTTTGCAGTTAGAGCCAGAAAACCTTTCATCCTGTTGAAAAAATAAATTCAAAGTGGAATCTCTTAAATGCTTTCTTAAGTCTTGGTATGTTTCAGCATTGTAATAGTAACTTTACAACATTTCAATTATCTTTTCCTAATGAAGTCCATAAAATCTTATGGTTAAAAGTTTTTTTTAACAGTTGGTAATGCCTTATAGTAAAATTCACCTTTACTTTTGCATTAACAGAAAAAAAATGTTTTACATTCTTAACAATTTGCATAAACTCTTTGCTCCATTTTCCTAACCTCATCCCTTACAAGTCCTGATCCTGCTGGAATTAAAAAGGCCCGAAAGCCTAAACTTTTATGCCTTACACTTGTCTGCAGGCACTGATAATACTCGGTGTCCTGTTTAAAAGTGACAAAAAAGATGAATTACCTAAAGGAAAGGAGGCTTGTAGTGCCAGGTATTAAGACCCTATGGGACATAAAATCTGGATCAAGAATTTCTGCAAAAAGCCCGCCATAAAGTCCGTCTCAACCACCGACCATTCATCCTTACATGTGCGACCGACATCCTCTCTTCTATTCCATCCTCCCTCTGTTCTGGGTCGAATTTTAGCTGCATCGCTGTCGACGTCTGACCGCACTTGTCCTACTTCTCCATCTTTCACTCTCTCTGCTTTTGCCTCTTCTGATT